TCCACAGCTGCCCGACAGGAGCGTGGGGCCACCCCACCTTCATGAAGGCTCATTTACTCTGCTCAACTGGTGAGCTCAGTTATTAGTACGCAAGGGAGCTGCTTCGACATGTTTCTCTCCTCTTTCCCGAGCCCAGGGCAAAACCTTACATCAAGATCATCACGTTTCCAGCATTCTCGTGTATGAAATGTGGTCAACATTCCAAGACTGGCAAAGCATTTCCCAACACCAGGAATAACATAGGACCTCCCTGCACCCCCCCCCCCAGTGATCTTCTAGCCCCTTGCCTCCTTTGTCCTTTGAGCATGGATCGCCAACTTCAATGGCCTTATCTGTTTCTGTTTCTTCTGTCTCCTCTGCCACCACTGTGGAGTATAAGGCCCCTGGAGGGAAGGCGTTGTACTGCCCCCAAGTCTCCAGACCACTCATCAGGACTGGGCATACACACGGCAGACCCAACAACGATGGAAGATGAAGCGTACAGGAAACAGGAAGCGAAGCAGTAAAGTACCCAAATCATGACACTGGGTGTAAAGGCTAAAAACCAAACCGACGTACAATGAGGCACTGTAATATTTGAAATGCGAGATGCATTATGACCGTATACTACAAAATGAAGACAGACATCTGAATAAACACTCCAACTAACAAGAGTTCAGGAAGACGGCTGGAGATAAAAAGTATTAAGGACTAGGAACTTTCTTATTTCTTGCCAAGTAGGTGATAGAATAGACAGCCCCCTTCACTCTCCTCCCCCACCCCCCAAAAAGATCAGCTTCACACGTCACCAAAAATGAACAGAACGGATCCGCACGATACATCTAAACGAAGTCCTGGAACTTTACTGAGGGATGTATATTAAGTTTGAGTAAGTTGGGCGAGACCTGTGTTCCACGACAAGAAACGCAAACATAGTCGTCAGTTGCTCCAGTTAACTGATAGGTTAGAAGCAATGCCAGTTAGAGCCACCGTGGGATTCTTTTTTGGGGGGAAGGGGAAGGTCTCAAGTTACTCTGAAGTTTACTGGAAAAAATAAACGAGTGGCAACAGTCAAGAACGACAATAAAATGAACGAGTAATATTGCTACCAGGTAACAGACTGAGTCATGAATCTGAGACACTGTGGTAAACCCATACATGATAACATCATGTGGAGACAGGAGGTCAACTGAATAGGTCTCAAGGCCAGAAACACGGTGAATTTGATTAAATTAGTTGTACAATAAAGGTGATGCATACAGTTATAAGAAAACAATTCAACACAGAAAGGACAATTAGTTATCTATTTGAATAAAAAGTTTGATTAGATTTATTCTTGCACATAATTGACCCAAACAGATTAAAGATGGATTAAAGGCTAAATATTTTTCAAAAACAGGCAATAAAATTGTGAAACTCAGAAATACGTATGTGAATTGTTAACTGTTTTCAGGATTTCAAGAGGCCTTCTAAATATCTAAAGTAGAAACCACAGAAGTAAAGGACTTCTGATTTGATTCTGCGTATGTATTTTGATCATATACTAAAAATGGGGAAAACCTCTACCTGCAGATAAGACCATAAAATTAAAAACAAAGCAAATAATAAACTGGGGAACTATCTGCAGAATGTATTATAAAGCGCTAATATCCTCAATATATAAAGTGTTCTTACAGATCAATAAAAAAGACAAACACCTAGTACAAAAAAGGGAAAAGACGACATCTAAACAATTCAATATAAGAAATACCTGTGACAATAAATGTGAGATGGCCAACCTTAGTCCTAACTGAAGAAATCCAAATAAAGCAGGAGATATTTTTATTGCTTATCAGATTACTACAGATTCTAAAAACGATAATAGCAATGCCACAAGTGTGTGTGGGTGAAATGGGAACTCACTTTATAGATGGTAGGGTATTTGTACAACAAAACCTTTCCAGAAATTAATTTGGAATGTATATCAAGAATCTCATGAGTGTTTATATTCACTGGCTGAATCGCTTCACTTATGGACCTTTATTCTAAGACCAGAAGTGTTATGCACAAGGATTTAGGGACACGCGAATGTCACGTCTGGGCAAAATGAAAAAGTTACTAGAAGGGAAGGCGCACAAGACACTTATCTACTCCAACAGCACTGAGGTAAGAAAACAAATAAAAAGGAACAGCATAAAAAGAAGCAACCATGACCAGTTAACTCGGAGCTCTAGAACAAAACAGCAAAACTCAAAGGAGTTGTAAAGAAGGATACTGTTAAGCACATGGGAAGTTCTTTGGCAAAGAGCTCTAAAACAGTTACAATAAAACCTATTTTTAGCCAGTGGTCCACCCCGTAAGTGTAACGCCAATTCACTGCCAGGTAAATTTGCTGTGTTCAGGTGAGAGAGCACCTGGGAAGCAGGGAATGGAGGGCCGCCCGCCGATGACGTCACCTTGTCTCAGCGTGCCATGACCACGAGACCCTTTCTTCCCCCAAAGGGGCACTGTGATCCTGCAGATGTCACACCCCCATTTCCTCGTCCCCACTTGTGATGCAAAGGAGAGGAAAAACCAAGCAGGCTCCCTTTAAGAAAGCTTAATTTAGCGGGGCGCCTGGGTGGCTCAGTCCGTTAAGTGTCCGACTCTTGATTTTGGCTCAGGTCATGATCTCGTGGTTTGTGAGTCTGAGCCTCACTTCGGGCTCTGTGCTGACTGTGGAGGCTGCTTGGGATTCTCTCTCCCCCTATCTCTGTCCTCCCTGACTCATGTGCTTTCTCCCCTTCCTGCTCTAGACAAATAAATAAACATTAATTAAAAAAAAAAAAAAGAGGAATTAACTTGGCTTAGGGCTGAAAGAATGCGCTGTAACCAACTGGGCTTGTGAGCGTGCAAAAGGGGTTTCGGCATTTCCCCGCGTCCTCCCGTCCACCCAAGGCAGGGGCGTTAGAAAGAAATGGGGGCACTGAAAAACACTCCTTTAACCCAGGCCCAGGCCACACATAACCTACTGCATGGGACAGGACATGGTTAAATGGCATTCTGTACTCTGTTTACCAAATGTCACATTTTTCCTTAGGAAAATGAGCAGTGGCACCATGGGATGCAAGTCTCAAGATTAAGGAATTTAAACAGCAAACCTTACGTATCCACAACTTCTCCACCTCGGAGGCTCCTCTCCCACCCTGATGCCTGGCAAATTCCCTTCCTTTGTTTACACTCAGCACAGGTGGTGCCCCAGCCCTGAGGCCTTGCCCCGTCTCCTAGGGTAGCGCTGAACACATCACCCCTGGGCCTGCAGGCCCCCGTACGTACTCCTGCCGTGGCCTGCTATGTGGCACTGCGTTTACTTGTCTGCTCGTCTGTCTTCCCCACCAGAGGGTGAGATTCTGGAGAGGAGAGATGACGTCTTAACCTTCTGCGTCCCCAGGGCCCAGGACCAGGCCTGGCATACGTCAGAAATGCCATACACGTTTGTTGACTTGAAGAAATAAACGCGTGGATCTGACACGATGGCTTACAAGGGGAAGTGGAAAATTAGCTGGTTTGAAGAGGCCCGCCTCTTGCAGAAGTTCTGCGGATCAGGGACCCTGTATCCACAGCACACACCATTCCTGGCACAGAACAGGTGGTCAGTAAATATGTCTTGAGTAAATTAATAAATACAAAGTGGTGAAGACGTTAGCTTTTCATTCAATACTGAATTTTTGTTTTCCCTTGGGTGGTTCTTTTCGCTCTTCTAATCCCAGCATTAGCACACCACCCTGAAGAGGGAAACTTCATATATGTCTCGGAAGGAAGGTCAGCAGGTCCTGAGAGACCTTGTCACCACTCTGGAATGAACTGATGTCTCCTTTGATGGCAAGCCCAGCCCAGTTTTGTTTTGATTGGTGATAACGGCTGCTGCTTGTATCGTACTTTATGAGTTTCCCAAAACTGTCCTATGTGTTATCTTACCTGCCATCACATCTCTGTCAGGTAGGCAGGCCAGGCAAGATCGACCTGATGTGGTGGTAAAACATGGCTGAGGGAGCTGTCCAACACCACTTGGCATCCTGAAGTAAGGCCCAAGCTATGGCCCCCAATTCTGGCCCCTTTCTCCTACCCTGCTTTCACCAACCAGTGCCATATTTATGCCACAGAACCGTGGGGTTAGCATCATCCCTCTTTAAAAGCACTTAACATCTCAGAAAGGGGAAAATGCAGCGTTTTTAAGAAGCAAAGACATATGCTGGAAAGTGCCGCATAACCATAATTTATTTGGAGAAGACTGGATGTAGGTTAGAGAGGAGGAAGGGACTTTTTGCTGGGGAAAACAAATCCATGTGTTGAAGCGTGTCAGAAGGAGGACTCCAGCCTTTTCTCTGATAATAATCACCAGAAGGTTAAAGCCGGGGGCAGTCATTTGCAAAGATTCTTAAACAAAAGCAACCCATGACATTTTGAACGGCTTGCAATTGCACACAAAGGCCAGGAATCTCTAAACACGTCTAAATTTGAGAAAACACGCTCTCTGATCCCGAATTAAAAAGCAAACGCTTTTTAAGAGAACAGGAAAGAAAGAGAACAGGAAAAATTACAGTTGTGTTAAAGAATGACCCGGCAGTTACCATACAAAACTGAGAGAACGGAAATCTTAGATAGGTCCAACAGTTTCCTTGAAATCTTGCTCCAAATAGCTCTCCTTCTTTTATCCACTTGGGTCGCCACAAATGAATACCAACCCTTGATATCCGCACGATTAATTTACGTGTTTTACAAGGCCCCCGAATCCTCGATCATATGTGAGCCTCGACTTTCAACTACACAACTAGGGGACGACCTCGTGGTTTGGTCTGGGCGGCCATGACTCAAAATGGCACCAGGTGCTGGCTGGCAGTCACAGAACCACCCACAGAAAGCGAAGAGGTTTCTAAGCCTTAACGTACAATGTTAATGGTTAAAATCTCACTTGACCGCAAGGGCTCCGCACTCTCCTGCAACCAGCGACATCTACTGCCGTCGTCACGCTGGATTCTTCAGCACGTCCGCTGCGAGCTTACCTGAATTTGGGGAGATGTGTAAACTGCTCATGTCCTTGGACAGGCCATTGGTTTTAGGGCTGGAGATGGGCGCACAGGCCGACGTGGCTCGGGGTGGCCTCTTCCCTGGGACTTTCACAGTGGTTCTCAGAAGATCAATCTCTTTACCATGAACATTCTGCATGTAATCCTGTTCAAAATGTTAAACATCCAAGAGATATTAAAAAGAAGACCTTTCACAATCTAGGACACAAGGTTCTATCAGATACCACGAGTTGTAATCCTATGACCCTTCCACTGTGGCAAGCACTTTAAAAATAATGAGGTTTTGATCTGTCTACTATGGTGGCATCATCGTTATATTGAAACCACAGTCTCTTTGTCCTGAACTAACCCAGGTCCCTCAAATCCAAGCAGACACAGGAAATGCTTCCATCAGGGGGATTAGAAACCAGCTGGAGAAAACAAGTGTCCATGTGAAATCGTATTTTATAAACTGCTGCTTATAGAAGGTGCACTAGGACCCTGGGGTCTTCCTGTAAGTTTCAGGTAAAGTTCCAGGGAGTAGGGAGCTATTTTATAACAACTGTTCTGCCTTGGATGGCAACACCACGAAGCCTCTAGATAAGAATGAAGCGGTCTGTTGGGAACTCAGGTAAGAAACTCCTGAAATAAAAGGCCAAGCATTTTACTAATAAGGACCAGGAAAATGTCTGAGGGCGTTGGTGGTACGGTGTTGAGAAAACGTGGAGCTCGCGGATGGGTATGTAATGTCCGGATGTGATGTGGAAAAAGAAAGAACGTTCTTTGGTACTCAAACATTGTGTTTCTCCGAGCGGCTCACCGTGCCCAGAGAAAGCATCTTTGTGTTCTCTTCATGCTGGAGGTGGATGACCCAGTTAACAGGGAGCCACAGGGATGTCTAGGTAGACAGGGATGGTATCTGTGGGGGTCGCTGGACAATCCGTGCAGAGTAAAACATTATCTAAGAGTTGGTTGTCGGGTGGGGGGAGAGAAGCAGCTGAGAGTCAGGGTGAGGGGCCGACCAGTGAGTTAGGAATTACTGACCCTTCAAAATGCATTTTTTTTGGCAAAGTGCCCCCTGGCCAAACATGTAGACATGTTAAATCGACCTCACACATTAAGAAAGGGCATATTCTAAAACATTCTTGGGCAAATAGCACGTCAAGTGTTTTAAGGCTAAGCATAAAATGCAACAAACGCATTCCTTCCTTGGCAGAATCTTGGTAGAATTCCTTTCAGAATATAAAGGGGAAAAGCCAATAAATCTGTAGTTAGGATGAACAATGAAGTTCTTGTCAATGTAATTTCAGAAGAACCGCCAAATAAACCAGGGTGTGGGCCGCCAGGGACCCAGGGAGGCTGGAAAAGTGAGTTGTAATTGCTAACCTGTAGGGTCAAGTGATGCAGAGAGAACCAGATAAAGTCCTAGAAGCACAGCACAAGGGACAGAGACCCAGGCTGTGGGATAAGGCAAGTCAGCCAAAGTCTATCAAGGGAGGCAAAGGGGGCCTGGAGAGCAGCAGGGAAGCCGAGGCAAGGATCCCCCGCTTCTGGAAAGCAGGCTGCGGAGCCTTTAAGTTCACGTGCCAGCAGGTGAAGGGGCTGAGAAGCAGTCACTGGGTCATCAAACAGCAGGATGGTTGCGGACAGAAGCAACGACACAAAAAAGGAACCAGAAGCACAAGATTCCAACACAGGGGAAGGAACCCACACGCGGCTCCTCAGGACAGACAGCACGAGAAGAGGCATCGTCCCTCCGCAGTCTGCTGGAGGGAGGGTCGGCCTCGAGTGTTAAAAGCAGAGACCTCACCCCACAACACAAGCACTTACGGGGCACCTGGGTGGCTTAGTCGGTTCAGTATCTGACTCCTGATTTCGGCTCAGGTCATGATCTCATGGTTCGTGAGATCGAGCCCCACGTCGGGCTCCGTGCTAGCAGCACAGGGTCTGCTTGGGATTCTCTCTCTCTGCTCCTCCCCTGCGCTCTCTCAATCTCTCTCTCAAAGTAAATAAATAAACTTAGAAAAAAGGTGGGGAGGAGGGGCACCTGGGTGGCTCAGTTGGTTGAGTGTCCGACTTTGGCTCAGGTCATGCTCTCACGGTTTGTGGGTTCAAGCCCCACACTGGGCTTGCTGGTGTCAGTCCACCAGCATGGAGCCCACTTCAGATCCTCTGTCCCCCCTCTCTGCCGCTCGCTCACTTGCACTCTCTCAAAAATAAACATTAAAATAAGACAAAATAAACAAAAATCCCTATTCTGCCACGCTTAAAAAAAATGAGAATTGTTTAAAAAAAAAAAAAGAGAGAGAGAGAGAGAGAGAGCGCACTTAGAGGGGGGCACGCGGGAGCCGACCCAGACTCAGGAAAGAGGGCGTGGGAATTCTCAGCAGAGGAGGAAGGGCAGGAAGAAAAAGCCCAGAATGGGAAGGCCTGGCCACGGTGGGGGGAGACGTTCTGATGGAGCAAACACAGAACTCTAGAAGGTTTGAAAAGCACCAACCCAGAAGGAAAAGATGCCACAGGGTCCCTAATGACTTCCTAAGGATACAACTCAAATGGCCAACTGTTGGTGGCAAACACACCCTCACAAGGCCAAGCAAGGCCAGAGCCAGGAGGAATCTGGGACTGAAGACGGCCAGAGAAAGGATCGGAGCTGCACCAAAGTGGGGCAGATACAGACCAGCTCTTCAGAGGCAGTGGGGAAGCTGGGCCTTCATCAGCACTTATAAAACCAACCATCCGGAGAGCAGCAGTGGCATCCACAAGCCTCCTGTGAGCCATGGAGGCCAGGAGCAGAGGTCCCGAGGCATGCTGACCCCGCAGGACGCGCTGCCTGGAGTCAGTCTCCGCCGTCGCAACAAGACTGAAGACTCCACGTGGAAGTCAAGACGCTTGGGCAACACCCCAAAATATAATGAACCGTGAAAGAGCTGTGGTTTTGGAAGGATATGGACCAAAGACAGAAAGACGGTGGTTACGAAATCAGAGTGAAGGAGCAAACAGACCCAGACGGGAAGGAATACGGGAAGACTCATGACTGAGCTCAAGGTTCTGGGGATGTGAACAAAAAGCACCACGGAAGCCATCCTTGCTTAGTGGAGGGCAAAGTGTCAAGGTCATTAAAGAAAAAACAAAGGTCGTTCTTAGACATCTTTAACGTACTTCCATTAATATCCAAAGAAAATGGGCAAACCCAAGCTTCAGAACCAAAGTCAAGGCTTGTACAGAATGACTTCATTCTCCCACACTTGCTCTTTCAAAAATATCAACTTGCTATAACTTTCTTCTTTAATGCCAATTCTTAACAAATTAAAATACAATAACAGGAGTGTAATTGAGCATTTATTGCTTATGGGCTCTAAAATGAGGCTAATCAGATAGTGACTAAGCCTCAGCATGGGCTCTTTTAATAGGCATGTTTTAACATACAATAACCAGGATATTTTATTTAAAATTATTATAGAAATGTACCAAGAGTCTGCTCTTTGGATGTGAACGCGGCAAGGGAACACATTTATCTTTGGCTCAGCATGGGCCAGGGAATCTGTTTCCTCGCTTGAGTTAGGCGTCGAAACTTCAGAGGAACTAGATCTAAAAAAAAAAAAAAAAAAAAAAAAAAACAGAATATGAACTTGGCAATTCTTGCATTGCAAGCCACTGTGGTTTTTACAAGATGCATTTCCTAATCCACGAAAAGCCCTTGGAGGTGGTGCTTCAGAAACAGTGGAAGGCAAGGAGGCCTGAGTATGTGGCTTCTGGGTTCCCCCAAGAGAAACGATGCTGAGTTTCCCGTGTTTGAAAGAATCCATCCCTTTTCATGTCTCCCCAGCTTGGCAGTTGAGGAATTAAAGCCACAACCGGTATACGACGACGTGGCCTCCTCAGAAGCGGGACTTGCGGCCTGCGGGGGCCCGAGGGAGGGACCTCGCCGGGTAAAATAAAGCCAGCAAGCTTGATTTTGATATGCAAATGCTACAGATACTACCCTTCTTGTGCTCCTCGTAGAAAATGCTGATCGATGATAAAAGGGGGAAAAACCCTTTAACGAGGCATGAGGGTAATTCAAAGCCAAGTACTTTTAAACAGCACGTAACAAGTCCCCGGGGCCCACTCAAGAGCCAGGCCCCTCTGAGGCGCCATCTCCCGCCCCACAACAGCTTGAAAAAGTAGTAATTGCCACCCTATTTGCATTTTTCTTCTCAAGTTGTCCGCGCTCTTGTCGCGAGGATTCTTTTTTCCAAGCAGGCGCGGGAGCACAGGGACCCGTTCCTGAACGTGTCGATAGCCTTGGTGACTGTGCGCCGGGTCCCCCCGCAACCCGGCTCCCACACCTTTGCCAACCCTTGTTTTTTACCTCTCGCTCCTAATTATGTTGCATCTATTGCCGTACACTTAATTAGCTGCATTAATGTGATTTCTTTTCACATAGTCAAGCAATTAAGAGCTATGATTGAGTTTCATTCAATTAGCCTCAACAAACATGCTAATTGATGTCCCAGATGCAAATGAGGTGCAATGAGAGAAACCTGGGAGCGACTGCTTTCAGCCTGCTGACGGAAGCACAGCTTAACACGGCTCCCACCTTCTGGGGGGCCGCCTTCAGGGAGGGCCGCGGAGTCATTAGCTCCGCGGTGCCTCCGATCGCTCCCGGTACGCGGGATTCATTTGATCTGCCGCCTTACGATCCTGTCCTGAAAGCTCACAGCTACGCGTTACCAGGACCTGGAGGTCATCAGCTCAGTGACGCTGTGCCCCTGCAAGGAGAGTAAACCCTCACCCAAACGCCACGAGAGGCTGCTAGAATGATCCAGGGGTTCTCCCCAAAACTGCACGGGGCGGGGAAGAAGGTGCGTCTTGTCTTGGTGACCTCAGAGCCCTCTGCGTGCACGACGGCCCCACGGTTCTCAGCAAATGGTGAGTTCATCTTACTCAGCTCTGGGGCATCTGGCACTCGAAGTTAAGCTCAAAATACAGCAATCCATCAAGAGTCCCTAAAAATACCCTTACTGTATTGATTCTCCCTGCCTCCCATCCCGACGTCACCTTTGGCTGTCTGCTGAAAGATGGGTTTGCCCTGTGTGTTCACGGGGGTACCAAAAGCAGTTGACAAGATCTGAAAGCTGACCCAAAATGCAGAAACGGTATGATTGGCATCTCAGAATGAGA